ATAAGGTCCTTCCATCTTACCCGTACCTCAGGTCTCTGCTCCTGTCATCCCCAATGCTTCTGAAATTGGGATTCCAACTGATTTTTTTGAAAATTAAGAACATTAATAGTGAATAAGGCCATACCCAACTGTTGGTGGGGGTTTATTCCCCTTTTTGTTTTTGTAATTGAATTTTTAGGTTTTGATGGTTGTGTTCTATAATGGCTTGACCTTGGGGATTGTAGGGAATTCCTGTATTGTGTTGAATTCCCCAAAGTGAAAAGAAATCTTGTAAATTTTTACTCACAAAACATGGTCCATTATCAGTTTTAATTCTTTGGGGCAATCCCAATGTAGCAAAGCACTGGAGAAAATGAGACTGAGCATGTTTAGACGTCTCTCCTGTATGAGCGGTAGCCCGACAGGCATGTGAGAATGTGTCGATGGACACAAAAATATACTTAATCTTTCCAAATGGAGCATAGTGTGTGATATCCATTTGCCACTAGGAATTGGGCTTGAGTCCCCTGGGGTTTACCCCTGGCTGTTGCAGAGGTGGTACCTGTAGAAAGGGTTGACAAGACTTACAGATATGTCAGTCTTCTTTAGGTCCTTGATGGGAACTTGAGGAAACCTCTTATGGAGTCCCCACCAATTTACATGAGTGAGGTTATGTAATCCCTGAGCTTCATTCAGGCCTGCTGACAGGACCTGGGTGGAAGCCATCTTGTCTGCCTCTGCATTGCCTTGGGATAAAAGCCCAGGCAATCCTTGGTGCCCCCTAAGATGCTGTAAGAAGATAGGGGCTTCTCTCTCTTTAAGGAGTGTACAAGTCTAAATCATCAAGGGAGTAATGGGGTTCCCATCCAACCGGATATGAGAACCTAATAGCCCTGGAAGAAGATTGACTACATACAGTCAGAAAACAAATTCATGGGCTCACTTATCTTTGTTAATGCTAAAGCAATGGCCATGAGTTCCTTGAATTGAGCTAAGCCATCACAAGTGTGGACATATCTTTTTGGTTTCTCATCTGCCCCTGGGTATACTACCACTGCAGCTCCAAATCTGCCTCAGTCAGTGAAAACATTGTAGGCTTTCACTAAGGGTTCCCTGACAAAGAGCCGGGGAGAGTTCCAACAGAGGGTGCAAAAGGAGCTCACCCATTTATGAGGACCATTATGACAGTCCAAATTCCCCAGGAACCCTTCCAAGGCCATGGCCACTCGGTTATTATTTCTGCAGAGCCATTTGAAATCCCTAAGCTGATAGGGGTTAACAATTTTAAGAGGGTCTATGCCATAATGTCTCAGAGCTACATCACATCCTTTCTCAATCAGTTCAGCCAATTGATCCGTGGGTGTATAAACCCGTGGTATGCCTCCCAGAGAGGCATGCACCCATTGAAGGGGCTTCCTGCCTGTGTAAGGACGGATGTCATCAGGGTCTCACGG